TGCTCTGAGTGCATGCTAGAGTGAACACATCCCCGGCATCAAATACAAATAAGAACCGGTAGACGTGAACACGTCATGCTCTGCACTCTGAGCTCCCGAAACCGCGAAGGCTAAGAAACCAACCTGCAGTGCACGAGAGTAGAATCGATCGAACACAGGTGGTGGCTGGCCTCCCTTGCGGTCTCCGCCCGCCCAGACAGCAAACACAATACTTTTCCTGATCTGATATCGATCGAGGCCACCGGGAACTAGGCACGATCGCGAAGTGATGCTCTGTGCACAGCACTTCAAACATCGACCGAGTCATCCCCGCCCGGCGGTTGAAAGGTTGTGGGAACACCAGGCTCTGCGTCTTGTGGAGTGATCCTAACTGAAGAAGGTCGATCGACCCGAGCCGTTTGGGCATAGGTCTTCATGATCGACCTGGCCTGGTGCACGAAAGCCTGGGGCGTGACCGCTGCGTCTGCGATCACTTCCCCTCGGCGTTGATCAAGTGACCTACGAGGAGCAAACACTTGCCGCCCCTCAGAACCCGCCGCAGCCGCCACACCCGGTGCAGTCAGGGAGATCTCCGCTTTCCTAGGGGTCTCAACCGAAGGCGCTGACCCCGCTGGCTGACCAGCCAGGTCCCTCAGCGGCTCCCACTTGGGCTGAGCGATCGCCACAGCAGGGGCCCCCATTGTCGGCGGCAAAATCATCGTCGCCTTCTCTGTGGCCGGATCGTGGTACTGAAGGGCGATCGCCTCCTTGGGGACAATGCGTTTCTCCATCTTCAGCAGAGGGCTCTCGCAGGTCAAATGAACATTGTCCTGGTGCGAGCTGACATCAACTGCTCCGATCCGTGGGCCTGTGTCTTCCACAGACTCGGCCGTGACAGCTGATGTCCAATGAGCATGAATGCCGGCCACCTGCGCCAGTTGCATCGTCTGGTCAGGACTTTCAATCCTGGCGTAGTGATCACGACACCATCTGGCGTTCTTGATCAGGTCGGTCCAGACACTCGTGAGACCACAAGCCACGAGCTGGGCACTGCTATGGTTGAGCAACTCACGTCCAACCTGTCCTGAGCAGAGCTGAATCTGAACTCTAATCTATCTGCGTCGTGGCCAAATGAGTCGGCTGACGACACTGCCGTGAGCCGGAGTTCAAAGTGGCACAGCGGGAAATCCAATGCCACGACCATTCCCGACTCACTGCAAGCGTAGAGCTGGCCCCCGACCTCGAACGAGACCGCACACACTCTCCAGCCTTGGAAGATCGTCACTGTACAGGACGGTATGAACAACACGTCCTCCAGTCCCATGACCAGTGCGTCATTCACGTAGTTCACCTGCACAGTCATGTCACGATCGCTCTTGTAACCTCGAAACTCAAGGTGAATGAGCAAAGCACCTTCCACCTTGAACTTCAGGTCGACCCATGTAGCTGAATCGTCCCTCATGATCGGCCACCTGAAGGGCTGAAAAGCCTGGTGCGACAAGACGTCACCGGTCAGCGAGTCCCATCTCCCGCATGGCACGGATCCGTAGGACGTCATAGATCCAACCACAATGAGCTTCTTGCCCTCGAGGGTCCTCATGTAAAACAAAGACATGTGGTACCCGGTGCTTGGGCTTCTGATCAGCCTAGCATCTGACAGCACGTTGACGCCTGCCTGGGCATTGATGAGGATTTCATCGAGCAGCCATCCTTGGAAAGGGCTTGAGATCCTCTGATCACGAGAATCCACCACCAGCACTGAACGCTCATCTTGCCCAGATCCCACTTGCCTCAAGTAAGGGGGCAAAGTTGAGCTCAAGGCGTTGTGAACACCGCCCAGTTGACCAAACCTCACTGCCCTTGCCCCTCGGCGAGCTGCCCTCTCTTGTTGCCTTCTCAGCTTGCGGGATCCATACTGAGGGTTGGTCCCAGCCAAAAAGTTCTGAGCAGCCTGTGTGGCTGGTGCAGCTGCGGGAGCTGGTGGTGCCGCCTTTCGAGGAGGTGGCGGTGGTGGGACTGAGGCTGCAGGTTTTGGCTCGCTGGATCCAGCAGGCCTCTGGCCATCACCTTGATCAGCTGTGGCTGCTTGCTCATTTTGGGCAGCAGTGGAGCCACTTGCTGATGGAGCTTTCTCATCCTTCTCCACCTTGTTCATCAGGTCGATCGCAGGCGGGAGATCAAGGTCTCCAGGTGGAAGATCATCTTCGTCATCAAGTGGAGCCATCACATTCTGCCAGCTTGAGTTCGAAATATTCGAGACTGAGTCTTCAGGCCTGAGCAGGCGTGAGGCGGCCAAACTCTGCTGCCTTGAGAACGGATTGGCCATGGCTCAAAAAGAAGGATCCCAGGCCTCTCAATAGACCAAAGGAAAATTCAAAGAGAGCCTGGGTTGATCACCTGGAGCCTTGTAGCCAAAATGGCAAACAATCAAACAAGTTGATCAACCCAAACGTCAATAATAAAGAAGACATCTGAACAGCTAACTAGAGTAACCTGCTTATACCAGACCTACCTAGCCGAATATAAGCAACCCCGGTCCGATAAAATCGATTTCCCACTTCTGAAGACATTGAAGTTGTCTTCCACTACTTCCAAGAATTCACTTGTGCCTCTTCTGCCGTGTATATCAGTAGTATTATTCAATATTGTCTTTTCAGTTGGTGCTTGAACATGCATATGCTCGCTGCCTTTCCTTGAAAGTGATAAGTTGACATTAAGTTGACATTGGTTGCAGAGTCCAAACAGGTAAACGGCCCTTGCATTGCAGTTCAGCTTTCAATTTTACAGCTGGATATGATATGTATTTCATGCACTCAGTGCCATTATGGTCAAAAACAATATCATCAGTAGTCCTTTAGCATAAATGAAGTATAATTTACTGCGTTTGCCGTCGTTCCCAGTGTATCTCCTGCTAAGGCATCCAAAATTCCTGCTAAAGCATCCAAAATTGCATTTATTGCTACATTGGATGTGACTGAATTAGCCTTTATAATTTATAATCGAGTGCTGTATCAACTTGAGATTGCGTGGATATATATACATCAACAGTTGCTGCTTCCAAACCTAGTGCTGTATCTACTTCTGTTTTAGTACATGTAGTTGCTTGATGTGCTTTGAATCCTAATGATGTATCCATTTCTGCTGTGGCATATTGTAAGTTTTTCGAATTTCGATGCAAACAAATCCAATCTGGATATCCCTATATCAATCTCCACCACGACCCCCACCTTCTGCTACTCGAGCTTGAACATATGCCTCTGTGGCAAGATTGGAAGAACCAGTGAGTTCCAATTGAATGAACTCAGTCCCTACATACCTTGTTGAATCATCTAAAGGAATTAGATATACAATTAGCCTTTTAGAACATATGATGTTAATCTTTTTCTTTTAGGTTGTGCACTGGACATCTTTTAAACGGTTGCTATACTTTTCTCTGAGGGACATGGGACGTGCCTCCATGTGGCGAATGCCCATTCTCCAGACTTTGCTGCAGTCTGTTCATGCCTCTCTGGTCACGGTGGCGCAATGGAGGTGGGGCTCGAAGACGCCCAAACCTACTACGCTCCTCGCTGTACGATTGCCACTGTTGAGAGCTTCGATGGACAAGTGGCAACTTGAGCATGCCACCAAACTTGAGCCTAGCCAGATGGGCGTCCAGAACGGCGTCTTCAGAGCGGGAGAGATGAAGATGTACAGCGAGTCCCTTTCGGCAGCCTTTGCACAGGGCGTGTATGACGGCCTGGTGCGAGCGGCTCGCTACGGCCCACATCCATTCCTTGAGCAGTGCCATCGATCCCTTGGGGGCACCACCTGCCCGACTTTCAAGATCGATGAGCTATGCAGGACGCGCTTTTGGCTTTTGCTGCGCAAATTCGTGCTGCGGGTCAAACGGCCCTGACGCCTCTGAAATGAAATGAAATGAAACATGCTATACTTTTCTGGCTTCTGTGTCATATATATGCTCTTGGTGAAGCAACTGACTGATAGTGATTCACACTTCTGTAGTAGTTGCACTGTTGTTTGAGTTTGAGGGCTGGATTTTGTTTGTTGTCACCCTCGAAGGATTAAACACACACCAAGCAGCAGGTCAGAGTAGGGATTGAAGATTGAAGACCGAAGATTCCACTGAAAGCCCTGACACAATCTTCAATCTTCAATCCAGAAAGTATGCGTACTCATGCGTATTTTTCTCAGACCTCCATCCACTCTAAGCTCTAGTTCCTTTCTTCTTTGCTAGTTTGGCTCTCGTCTTCATCTCTTTCTAGACCGCTATTTTATCTATTAACTATATGATCCCCCCTTTGGTCTCCAAAACACATCATCAAAATCAAACCAGAAAACACCGCAACTTTACAAAGGAGCGCAGGTTTTGCATGCATTCTGCAGGGGGCTGGAATTACAAAGCAAAGGTGGCAGGTTGTGGTGAGATTCTGGTGCAAAACAGACCGCGCGGATCAAATGTGGGCTGATGTCAAGCGGTGGGTGCCGAAGCCAATCACTGCCCGAAACAAAGGAGAAGCAGTGGTCTGTTGTGGTGCCGTGTGTGCATGTCAATGAATGTAGACAAAAGCAAAGCAGAAGAAAGCGGCCGAGAAAAGGGATTCCTTAAACTAACTCACTGTCTCAAGTACCCGGCAGTATATATATATATTAATTGTGCATCTCCCTACAATTGCAACTTCAACTCCCTGATTCCGCGATAGAAACATGGAACCAACTTTCTCAAACAATCTCAAAATCAAACCCAGCAAAGGAATATAGCCCCCAACAAATATCCTAAAACAATGTATACATGATACATGCCACCATGCATGACTATAAACACATATTAACAATGCCAATTTAAAATCACATATGTGTATGTGGGTATGTGCGCAAAACAAAAAGAATAAATATATCTATAACTTATATTTATGATTATCTACATCTCTATATAGGTCTACATACTATATATGTACTGTATATATCCTACACTGCACAACATCTACCTGTGACAAGGCATCCATGTGGCGCCAAGGCTCCACGAGTCCGTCGGCTCTGAGGCCCGGCCGACTCGAGGAGCTCGCGCCGTGTGCGCGGCCCGCCACGTCGGGGCTGTTGGCTGGGCCTTTGCTGGGCCCTTTCAGCTCGGACTCAGGCTTCGCCACTAAAGCCCTGACAGGTTCAGCGAGCGAAAAAGGGGTGCGCGCATGGCGTACTACTACGCGACGTGTTCACGAAAAAGGGCCCGCTTGTTTCACAACACACAAGCAGGCTTGGTCTGCTTGGTTTATCGAGCCTGGATTCTTGTTCTCCCCAATGGAGAAATGAAAACACATACAAAACAGGGATTGTGAAACAACATGTTTATACATATTTATGACGAACATGACTTAATTAAGTTAAGACATGGCAATTAACTTGTTACCTACAAGCATACAAGGACACCACATGCTTCCACATATGTAACTTAATGTAACTTATATAAACGTCGCATGAACTCACACACAAAGCAACCGTCCAGCATGCCATTTGGTCCTTTAAAGAAGTATGTGCTAGTGACTATGTGGCCTCGATTCTTGGTGATCTACTCTGAACCTTCTCGTGCCCTGCAAGGAAACCCTACACTGTGAACATTGAACTAGTGAGGTGTCTAGGCGGAAGGGTGGCTTTTGGCTACTCTTTCCTTCTCTCTCTTTCCCTTCTTCCTTTTCCACGCGACATCGATCGCTCTCCAGACCGGACCCACCGGAACGCGGAACGTGTGGCCAAGCCGCGGTGTCTTGGCGAGCACCGTGGCGCCCGTGGACTTGAAGACCTCGGAGGGGAGAGGACAAACGGCGTCTGCGCCGCCAAAAACAAGAAGTGCTTGGCCTTGAGATGCTAGGTGTTACGAGGCCAACGTAAGTGCAAGGCCAAACGAAGTGCCTTTACATTGATGTACATGTCATTCTACGTGATCGTGCTTGCCAATGAGTTAGGTTCGTATACGGCCAGTTGACAAAGCTGCAGATGTTTTGCAAATGCGTGTGGCAAACATTGCCGGACATCTCTCTTTTGGCCCTCCCCCACTTTGATCCAACGCAGTCTGATAGCAGAAACACCACTGCGCTGGGAAACCTAGTGAAATGTGTCCGTTGCCGCCTCTGCTTCTTGGATTTGTAGCCGCAAGACGACCTTTTTTCTCCAAACCCACATCTCTCGTTCAGTTCTTTGGAATTTCCCAGCGCCATCGACACTGTTGTGCATAGACTTCCAACTGCACATTGAAGCCGACGATTCCGCAACGGTGTCCGCGCCGGTGGTGAAGCACAGCTCGCCGCGTCGGACAGGACGATATGACACAGCTAGGCCGCCGGAACTGAAGAAGACGACGACTTAAGACAAACAAAGAAGCAAGGATGAACTCAGGTATCGCTACCTTACTACTAGTAGCGATGCACCTTGTAACTAGTAGCGTTGCACTTGTTACTAATGTGGTCACTATCTGCCTCAAGAGAGTCAAGCTGTAAGAAATAACGGTCAGGATCCAAGCAAATGTGAAAGGCTCGCTAAGCTCGAGAAATGCTAACAGTCAACAACAAACAAGCTCACCAAGGAAGAAAAAAACACGACTTGATAACACACAAGTAAAAATATAAGCTGAAGAAACACACACACACACAAACACACACACACATATATATATATACACACATACACAATCATATAATATATAAAGACACACCAGCAGGAAAGGCCAAGACATTGACTTGAGCCTACAAAACTGCTAGTAAACAACACGTTACAAGCGCCAGCGGATGCAGCTATTGGCCCCTGCCCCTCTCTGAAAGACAAACAACGGGGTGAGCCCTGTGAGACTCAGACTTGTCGTGACTGTTATACGCCGGCATATGTCCTTGAGCCTTGGACGCATCGAAGATTGTGCTCTAAATCTCTTGAGACTTGAGATGTATAATAGACTTCTAAGCTAAAGGTTACTAGTGGGGATAACTGGGGAACTAGGAACCCAGTTTGTGACTACAAACAAGATATCGCTGAGAAAGCGGCTGATCCGCCATCGCGCCGGGGAACTGCCCGCTCCATGGCGCCATCGGAAACACACTTTCGTAGCCAAGAGTGCGGCAAAGGTCAGACCGGGTTGGATGAAAATGGATAGAAGCGGATAGAAATAAATGCTACTAGGAGCAAAGGGCATCGCTACTAGGAGCAAGGACGCTACTAGGGGCTCCTGGCCTTACTACTATGAACAAGGACGCTACTAGTATTACAGGAGATTGCAGGTCACACAAGGTCACAAGGTGGGTGAAGAATGGTGCCGACCTCCCAGGATGCTGGGATTCGGCTGGTTCGTTTTTCCAAGAATCCAAAGGATTCGTCGTTTTGGAGGTCCCCAGCTTGAGGCAGCAAGGGGCCAGTCTCACCTGTTTAGAATCATATTGAAGAAGTACTAAGTACACAATATTATTGTGGGAAACAATGGTGCTCTTGAATGGTATTGAGAGCTGGTCGAACTGAGTGAGGGTGCCTACTTGCATATGCCGCAAATTGAAATCACTTATAATTATAGCCCGAGGGCTTGTCAAGTCTTGGGCCTTGCTGTTCACCAACAATGGTGCCTTAATGGCGGCTTCTCCAGGCTGTAACATATACATAAACATAATCATAAGTTTATAAAGGGAGATCTGACAAGTTGATAAGTGTCATCCCTAAGAAAAACAAAACACAATAAAACACACACACAACAAAAATCAAACTCTGCAGCCCTTCGGAGACTGTGGCACCTTGATGAGACTCCACTCTTCGGGAGAGCCAAAGCACCAAGCTCCGTTGGCTGGCGCTCAGCGCGCTGACCTGGAGACTGGTCGGACACGCAGCGTTGGGAATTCAGCTTTGTGGAGTTGGTAGGCCCAAAGACTACAAGGAACAAGAAGCTATTAGGAACAAGTGCGTCGCTTCTAGTAACAAGTGCCTTACTAGTAGTAACAAGAAGCTATTAGTAACAAGTGCCTTACTACTAGGAACAAGAAGCTACTAGGAGCTAAGGGCATCGCTACTAGGAGCAAGGACGCTACTAGGGGCTCGAGGCCTTACTACTAGGAACAAGGACACTACTAGGAGCTTTTTGTGTTGGTCTTGTCCTCTTCCCAACACTCGGCACGGGGATCTCTATCACCTCTCTACCTTTCCTCTATCCTCTAATTCTCACTCTTGAATCATACCGTTGCAGCTACTAGGAGCAAGGAGCAAATGGTTTCAGAGTAGATGGCACAACCCCCCAAAGGGGGGATGCCGCACTCGTCGCGATCCCTCGCCCAAAACGGCCCCGCCTCGGTGTCACCTCCGGACCCGTTTGGGTCAAACCGGGGAGGTCCTACATGAGGTGATCATCATATTGTTACTAGTAGCGTCCCCTAGTAGTACGGCCAGGAGTCCCTAGTAGCTTCTTGTTACTCTACTGCGTGAAGGGGGTGCCCTACCATGTTCTTCCTACCAAGTTCTACCTACCTTTAATCACGAGGATGATCATCCCTCCTGGGGTCTCTTGGGAGCGAATGACATATCATGTGACATCTGTGTATGTATACGCGTTGACTGTTGGGATTGGCCCATTGGCTCCCTTTCTTTTCCCTGCAGCGTTTTGATCAAACCTATCAGGAATATCCGGAAAATGGTTCAAGTTCGTTTCTTGGACTTGAACTTGGAGACGCCTCGTCTCGACGCCTCTTCATTCAAGTTCAGGGTGCGCTTGAATACAGTGCAATGTGTAGTAGCTGTTGAGGGCCCCCATGAACAGCCCTCAAGCCCTTGAGAGCTCTCTTTTTCGCAATCCACTTCATGCAGTCAGTCCGGAGTGCAGAAGCTGGGCTGGAGCAGTTTCTACTCCTCCAAAGCATTGCGTACATATATATATATAGCTCAGCAAATAGATATACACTGTAAACATCATATCTTAAAGAATATCCAATTTTTATTTCGCATTATGTAATCCTTTGTGTACGTTTGTTTAATTTAGGAACACGTTGATCATTCTCGCTTCCAAACGCCCTCTCCAACGGGAAACTATGCATGCCGAATGCCAACAACACCCAAAACGGTTAATCGGTTAATCTGCTATAATCTAGAGCGTTCGCTCCAAGTGGTGACATGATGTATGATCAGAATCGGAGAATGATTTGATTCGCATCCAACGGTCCAGCTTTCATCGGTATTGTGATGTGTACCAGGGCCGCAAAAAAAAGCCCCGCGGACTTTTGACGCAGCCCAGTAGCCGTCGGAAAGAACCAAGTCCTCACTGAATGATCCTCAAAACCAACAATTTCTACCTTCAGGTCTTGAAACAAAGTAGAACCAACACAACGTCTTGCCGCTTGCCATCATGACCTCCACCTAAAAAATATCCTTGCTTGTTCACGTACTAACTCGGCTTCATCATCCTGAAAACACCCACGGAATGCTGACGAACAAATCGTGCAGGGATTTTTGGGGTTTTGGGATTCCTGTGGCCGCATCGCTTGTGGCTGATGTTTTAGGGGTGGGGTGGGGATTTTCCAAAAAGAAGCCATTCCATGTCATTCCGGTGTTGATCAGCTTCCGAGCGTTTCTTTCGGTCCTGAAGTGATGTGAGGGGCCATCCAAATCTGTGAAATACCAATGCCGTTTGTTGTTCTACGGTACGGTGACGCGTGCAGTGACAGAGGGCAATCCGCAGTTGTTTTTCTTGTTCTAGTGCCCAAGCAGCATCCGGGATGTCTATATATTGTATTGTATACTGCTATCTGTAGACTATTTTGTGTGTATACATTGTGTATACGTACAAGTCTCTGACTGAAGCTCGGCTCAAAGTGAGTTGCTCTTACCAGTTCTCTCCGTAGCTCTTTTCCTGGGGGTTGCGCCACAAACTCATGGCCAAGGCTCTGAAAAATCTCAAGACTCGCTGACTGAGTCTGCTGTGCTGGCTGACATATCGTGCCTACAGTTGCGCCTCCTCAGTCAATCTGTGCACCTTGGGCCGGCTCCAAGAAATGGGTGTGGCTCTAGTCATGGCATCTGTCAAAAACAAGCCTTTCGGCCATAGCCGCATCAAAGCCACACCCCGTGGTCACCTTCGCATCGGCAACTGTGGAGAACGGGTCTCTTAGCCAAGGTCACATGCTAAATTAGTTGTCTTGGCCCAGCACTTGGTAGGGAGCTTCAATCAGCTTCAAGGTCAGTTCTTTTCGCAAAGGCATCAGGCATCAGGGGCACCCCTCCTTCCGGGAAGCATAAATGCCAGTCAATTAGTTTGCAAGAAGATGTCTCCCAGAACATGCGCGCATATAATTGCATAGTACAAAACCTCACTACAAAATGACACCCAATGGTCTGGATTCTTGCTTGAAGGGTTCTGAAAGGAGCTCCCTTATGGCGCGGTAGATTGAACACGACCATCCTAGTTTTAGGAGGTCGAGGTGCTCAGGATTGTGTGCTGCCGTCTGCCAATTTGTGAGGCTACCATGCATGCCATTCATTTCTGATAGTCCTGGGTCAAAGGCGAATCAACGAATCACATTAATTAATATGTCATGTAGCATGTGTACATCGCACATTGGTCAAACTTATCATCCTGCGTTGGTGTGCTATCAAAAAACACGTTTACACTTGCTCGGCTTGATGAGGATCTTCGGGCACTTCGCATCACGAGTTTCAGCCTTTCAATCAGCATAGGCCTATGCCATCCTATGCCCAGCTGTCATAGCATCAGGCATCACGTGCAGCGCCCGGGTTGCGGGCTACGACCCGATCTATCCAAAAAAGGACGACCTATTCGTGTTGCGAAAAGGTCGCATCGGTACGCAGGGCAGCTTGGGAGTCAAGGGCACAAGTTCTAATCGCACGTCGGCTTCTGACTTGGCCACATGGCAGCATGGTGCTTGGGATGTTGGGCATCGGGCACCCTTCCTTATATAATTGGAGCATGTCCGGCTTCCTATTTTCAGTGGCAGCTGGGCATGCCGCATGTTCGCCCCCTCAATCCTAATTGCATGAGCCACACCAAGGTTTACTGTATCAGAGCTGTTGCGCCACAAGAAACAGGTCTCAAGAGTCATAGGAGTCATTTCTTGTTCCAATTGGACCAACGCATACGTTTACCCTTCTCTATCCTTTTCTTCAAGTGAGCGCCCGGCAAAGGAGGGCCCAAAGCAACCCCGCCACCGCAGGTGTCCGCGGAGGTCCTGCAGTGTCCCCTATTTTGCGGACAGGCCGTGTCCTGCCGATGCGTTTGAACCACTACTGTCACTGAGACACACATCATCCAATGACAAAAGGACCGAAAGGACCGGGGGGCCACCGACCAAAGGCACCTGCGGTTACTACCGGAGCGGATCCGCGGAGTAGAGTCGCGTCATCTGTTGCTACCTCGGCGCGGGCTGCGTTTTCATCTGGGTCACATCTTCATGGCCATCCCATGGCCGTGGCCATCACTAGTATCAGTAAACTTTCCTCTGTCAAGTATGTCTCTAACATTCTCTAACTTGGTAAAATGTACACAATGGAAATGTTAAACCTGAAAACCACTGGGTTGTAGAGGACAATAGTCTTCCAAAGGTCCATTTTCAGGTTCCATGTTAATTTTCCCGGGTGTATCCGATGATCTGATTGCCAACTTCCTACCGTCCAATGATGCCCATGCCAAGGGAACCCCTTTCTGGCCTCACCTAGGCAAACTCACCGAGTATCGGTCCCCACTGAGGACAAATGGACAAACCTGTCTTTCTTCCGATGTCTTCCACACAGTCAAGGCGCTGCTCCGCAGACTTCGCGCTGAAGCAACCGAAGAGGGAGGTGAAAAAACCACTTCCTCAGGAGAGATGTGGCGTCTGACTTTCATGGGGAGAGATGTGGCGTCTGACTTTCATGGGAACAAAAATGAACAACAGTTGAGCGACTCACCTGCGTGATGTGTATGCATGCGAGATGTAAACATATCCCAAATCTATCCTGCCACTCCTTCTATGCACCTCGTCTTTGGAGGGTATCCAGGATCTTTGTACAATGATCATGATCACATCACAATAACAAACCACGAGTCAATTATACGGCTAAAAATCATCGGGCTACCGAAACCATGCATCAAAAAAACCTACTGTCAACAAAAAACGCATTCTGAACATAGAGAACAAATCAATTATGAACCAAATTTTCAAGTACAGTTATATATTATATATCAACAAAATACCGTCAATACAATTGTAGCTTGACTTCCTGCTCTACAACAACAGACCTGCTTTTGAGTTTGTGTAAAGTACGCATCAATAGCAACCCTGACTTTTTCCTGTACAATGATAAACCTACACTTACAAATTTCTGAATTGACTAGCCAATAAATATAAAACTATGGGCTATATAATTGCATGGTCTCAGCAACATATGGCAAAATCAACCTTTAAAACTAACTCAAAACTCAAAACAATCCGATTCTTCGTAAGATGTTCCATTAAAAGCAGAAGAAGTCCTTGCAAACAGTACCCCTTCCGAAGACCTAAAACATCCAAGTATAAACATCTGCCAATAGATTGCATTTTTCCAGAAGATTGTAATACAAGTAAGCGTACTCCTCTACACCAATAAACCCGCTTGTCTAGCAGGTTGCAAAACCAAGCCGAACTTTATAAACAACAATTGTATCAGTTGTATCGGTTTTTAGTCAGTTGCAAACTGTACACAATCTAAGATTGTCAAGGTTTTAAACAAAATAGAAACAAGAACAACAGTCAAACTTAATTCTTCCAGCAACTCTAAAGCCATCAAATTCTCACATCCTCCCCAAAAATAAGCAACAAATTGACAAAGGGTACCCCTTACAAGTACCAATGGTTCACAATTATGTAAAAACAACTGTTTAAAAGCCATTTTAATGTCATAGTCACTCACAGGTGGCAACAATAAACCGGACTTTTTCCTGTACAATCATAAGCTTCCTTCTGAGCTATTCCGGTGTAGTAGAAACATTTTTTCAATTTAAGTAGTTATATAGGTGCAGGGCGCCGCTGGTGTTCCAGTGTAGGATGCGTTCTCCAGCTTGGGTGTTGGTGCCGCTGCAGGGTGCTGCTGCTGTGTGTGATTGAGAGCTTGCGTGCAGGGTGCCGCTGCAGGGTGCCGCTGCTGTGCGCTTGGGAGCTTGGGTCCTGGTGCCGCTGCAGGGTGCCGCTGCCACTGCAGTGTGCTGTCCACATTCTTTTGCAATCTAGGGTCTATGCTGGTGTAGTTGATGTCGATCAATTCAAAACAATCATCAATGGACCAATGGAGGTCTATTATGGCGAGTAGTAGTTTATTGTTATTATGATGAACAAATTTGTTGCCGCCAACATTTCACAACAAATGAAGGTTTATCATCATGATGTGAACATTGACTGGGATCAAAGTCATCAACTCCTGCCAGCAACTTCTGGCAAACCTATGGTGCCCATATGTGAGCTGGAGGGCCAAGGGAGCATTTAAGAGCGGGTTGTCGGGGTGCTGCGCACTAGTGTCTGTGGTGCACTCACTTTTATGAATGAGCGAAGATTTGTAAGAACCTGCAATTTGAATTTTCCGTTTCTCCACCTAATTGTAAGTCTTGTACCAATTGAACGAATGTTGCGATCTTGGCCCCAAAGGGGGTCATTGATGAGTGGCCCCTTGGATTTGGTGTGCTCCCACCATCTTGATCTTAGAAGCCTCAACTTGGTAGCCAAAAAGCTTCTTTCTCAAAGGAACGCGCAGGAACTCGTGCAAACCGAACAGCTCTAGAAAAAACTATCTAAAACGTTCAGCATCAAAAACCCCTATAATATAATATCCTCATATAACCTCCAATGATTCTATGAGTCGCCCTTGGCCCAGGAGTGGCCCACTCGGATCTCTCGGTTCCCGCGCGTGGCCGCGCACCCGATCCGCCCTGGCCGTTGCTCTTGCGAGAGGCGACCTCGCAAGACGCAAGCGCCCCGGTGAAGCCGGCGACACGGCTTCAGCATCTCTTGAAGTCTTGGACATCCCAAGGTTACGGGGATCGGGATATGCGAGGTGATATATATTCTATCGGATGATGCTGGGTGCTCACTTAGGACTTTTCCTTTTTGCGAATCACAAAGCATGCCTTACAAAGTTTGGAGTCTCCTATGGTGCTACACTACTACTGAAGCGCAAGAGGTGCTCCCCACAGGAGCCCATGTTCGATCTCCAAATCTGCGCCGCTTCCGACTCAGAGAGTTGATGGGCCAAAGAAGCGATTCTTGTGATCTTAAAAGAGACTTCCGAGCTACGCTCATCCTTTCGCCGAACTGATTCTGGAAAAGCCCAGGAGAACAAAGGGCGAGGTCTCCGCATTGACGAGGCACGAATTCGACGACGTTCTGATTCGAGCATAGCCGTGCCCCAAAGAATCCCATACGACTCTCCTCAAACATCCTCAGACGCCATTAGTGAGATCTCCCCCAAATGTGCAATTTCATGCACACTCATCACCAAGGCTGGTTGTGAGGGGGTTGCAACATATTACAAAAACACAAAGCATTTCCTTGTGCCTGACCAAACACGAGTCGCAACCCTGACCAGCCCGGATCTTCTCGCCTCTGAGATCTTCTCGCTTCGGAATCGCTGATCCGTGGCCGCCGCCGCGGCCGTGCTGCGCATGGAGTCTGCGTGCCTTTGAGTCACAGGCTGTCTGGGGCCTGACCTGGGGTCAAATGGTTACTGCGGGATATGGAGAGAGGTGGTGAGATCAACGTGAAATGTGGTGGTAAGTAGTACGTACTCTGAAATCAAAGACCTTCAAGCCAGGAACCTGAATATTGGTACAGGTGTCTTTTTGAGAATAGTGATCTTGGTGTTCCAAGCTGTTTCTTGGAACACTCTGAAACTGTGGGATCGCTTTTTCAAGCCCTGGAAATCGGAAAGCCCTTCCATTAGTACAAAATAATTACTAAAAAGTACACTTGCAACAACATCGATCGGAAACTCGTTCCTCCCGTAAAATGTTGCGGATGTTGATTCTATGTCTGCTGGGATCGCCGCGGTTGGGTCAGCCTCAACATGAGGGGATTCGCTTTTCCTTTCCCTGTTCTTGGAATTCCAATGAGTCAAACGATCCGTGACTATCATTGACTATCCACATTCACTCTGAGGCTATGAGGAAAACGACATACTTGTCTCGCTCAACAATGAGTGTGGCCCACTGAAGGGATTCATATACTCTTTGGGGCGAACATCTTTTGGGGGAGATGGTGAAACACATTCGCTTTCGACCTCGGCCCGTCTGGCGCCTGGAGCGCGTCTCTTTGGCACTTCCTGGCGCGATGGGGCGCGCCATACGCCGACAATACGCCGGTAGAAGCAAATCAATGATCGCACATGTATTTATTCACACGCGGTCGACGAAGTCGAACGGCACATGGTGGCCATGTTCAGGCGGCCATGTGTCACCTAGCGACGCCCAGAGCCTCAACGAGGCCGCGCCAAGTCACGAGCAAAACGGATCGGCCAGGAGGAAGTAAAGCGAGACAAGTCCTCATTCACCCTAGCAGCGATGCTACCGCTCCAACCCATCCGGATGCATGACATCCTCCTGAAAATCCGTAAATGAGGACGAGCCATCAGGCAAAAATCCACACTCAAGTTGAAATGCCTTTGTATCGTTTTGAACAAATCAGTAAAAACACACAATTCAGTGGCAACAGTCGAACGAACCAGACCACTGCAGGGCACTTCCTGTAAAAGAAGATTGTCACCACCATCATGGTGAACAAACAGGGGGATCTGATGACCATCAAGACAAAAACCCACCACAAGCTCCAACAAAGAAACAGGACCCTTGAAAGAAGAGGTGATGTCCACAGCCACCAACCAAGAAATCAGGTCCCCGACTAAACTGGATGAAAATCGGCACAAACGAATTCCAAGGCTCGAAGTGTGTGGCCCGAATTGCGCGGCAAGAGACGCGTCGTTCATCTCGAGGCCGCTACCTAGGGAACCTACCGGGGCATCCTCAGCTTCAGCGCACTCAGGAGTGGTAGAAAGACTCACACGCGCTAAGTGCAGGAGGAAGTTCAGCTGTCCACGAGTCGCCGCTGTAGCCCGCTCTTCTTCATCACAAAACAACGCATGCACATGTGAAAAAGCAGGAGAGCGAAGGCTGTTCTGCCAGCGAGCCAAAGTGTCAGCAAAGTCATTGCCTCTCTTACACCAGTCAGCACGAGGTGAAAAGCACTCCTCGTCCGCAACATGGGAAGAAATCTTCTGCACTATGACCTGGTTCATGTCAATCTGTTCAACAGTGTGCAGAGCCTGGAACCAGAGAGATTGATGCTTCCATCGTGGCGGTACCTCCCGATGCTTTTGCAGGTACTTGAAGTTATCCACTGCATACTGACTGTCGGAAAAATGGTCGCCTTGGCTCCAGTTCTCAAAACCCACAAGAAGGCCGAGTGAACTGCCATGGCCTCCGCAACATCAATGGACTGCACCAACCCAGGAACAGGCCCTTGAGCCAATGTGCGTTTCGGTTCCATGGTAGTGACCGCCCAGGCTGCCAGAGCGCAAGTCGGCTTCCGAGGCATGCTACAGCTTCCATCCGTAAAGATAAAAGTGTGCTCAGCCAAAACTTGAAGGTCCAAAAATTCTTCCCGACGATCAGGAAGGGCGAGAAGTGCCTTCCAGTACGCCCATTGATGAGGATTGGCCGGATGAAGTCCGTGATGAGTAAATGCCGCAGAGCGCTGCGGCCACAACCTCACCTCTGCAGGAAAACGTTGACGCACTGACTCATAGATAGGACAATGTAGTGCCCGATGTGTCATAGTGTCCGGCACTTGGCAAGAATCACAAAGACCCGTGTGCTGCCCATCAAAGTGCGATTTTGCCTGAGAGGTAAAGAACGTGCCATCCTGTATAGTGGCCAAAAGCTCTGTGACATCCATCTGAGGGAAGGTCAAAGACCGAAATGAAGCCGACCAGTTGATGGAGTGAAGCCCTGTGAAATCCTTGCGATGACGAATCTTCAAACAGACTTTTTGCCGCCAACAATATTGCAAGAGCAGTTGAAGACTCTCAAGCGAGAGCTGCCAAAAATCGATACGTAGATGCTGAATCCACAAATGAAGCTGCGCGTCTAGGTACCAGTCCAGGAAGCCAAGGCATTGCACCACCGCATGCAAGGGGCCTTGACCAGTAAACCCCGGATTGTCCATGGACTGTACCCAAAGTTCCAGAATCAAAGGAAACTGATGCACCATGCGCCAAAAAGTTGACAGCACTTGCCATAGCTGGTAGTATTCAGGGTCCAACTGAGGCATCTGCATGAGCGACCAACGAACATGCGGCGAGGCCCCTGCACGATCCCAGTGAAGAGCTCTCATGGCAGCGGAGCGAAGCCTGTCCGTGGCCACAACCGGAAGGAGTCGATTGGCGACCCCATGCAAGACTTTAGGCCATGTGATGGATCGAATAGCAAGCATCTTGGCCCATCGCGGAGCGGAAGAGAACCGCAGAATGCGCCAGTGATGAGCAACCGAATCAATGCGACCTTGTGCCACTTGTGTTCTGGAGACTCGTGAATAGGTCATCTGAGCTCCCAAATCTTTGGCTGCCAGTTTGGTGGTGTATCCAAATTGCCTCAGAGCGTGTCGTGCATCAGCCGAAGTGGCCCAAGCATAACACTTGCCAGGATCAAGATGTATGTCCCAGTTCATGAAGACCTGGAGGACATTGATGCCATGGCACAGGTGACCAAGACAATCAGCAACCAGTTGAATGTTGTCCACAAAAACCGGACAGGCCACATTGGAGCTGTAGACCTTGAGATAGGTATCGAGAGCTGTATTGAAAGCCAGCATGGCAATGCAACTGAGAGGATCACCTTCTGGAAAACCAGTGCTGGAGAGTATGGCATCGCCAGTGTGGTTGGCAATGCGAAAACGACGCTCAAGCTGAGAGAGAGCTTGATGCCACGCAAGGGCGCAATCTCTAGGAAAGCCCATGAGTTGAAGGAGCAGCAGGATGGGCATCCGTGGTAGTGTGTTGAAGCACTTAACTAAGTCAGCATTGTAGCCCAGAAGCTCCGTGTGCGTGGAGTAAGAGGACTGGATGAGCGCCTGCAGGATGTACCAAATGTCTTCAGCCCTTCTGCCAGGAACGTAGCCAAAGACCAAAGAAGGAATGACTTTGGCCAGGTATGATCGCAAATGTAAAAGCAAATGTGCAAATTCCATGAAATTCCTGGATGTCCGGCACAATGCAAGCTTTAACTTCACTCACTATAGTCACTATAGTCTGATGCTTTGGAGCGCAAGTCACCTTAAACTTCTTGCGTTGCCTGTGGCAGTGGTAAAAAAGTCCGCCAGAAGTGCCCGCGGACGGATGGGTTTGAGATGGTTTGAGTTAGGGCCCAACCAGATCGGCAAAGGAGTAGGGTGACCATGCTATAGCTTGCGATGAAGGAAACTGTCCTGCAAATAAGGGAACAACCTCCGTCTAGCCGACTGGCTAGAAGCTACTACCTGCTGGACGCAGGATAGCTCACGCTTCTTCAAGGAAGCTCCCTCCGCCCCCTAAAGGCGGCGTGGGGCGCGGGGGAGCTTCCTTGAAGAAGTGCTCGCATTATTCATTTGGCTCCTGGATGTTTAAGATAAACACAATAAACGTAATAAACCACCAGTACTACCACCAGTCTGAAGCGCATCTAATGACCCAGTGAGGCAATGAATTGGGGGTCGGATGATATTATTTCTGAGGTGTCATTTTAAAGACATGTGTTGCTTTTGGCTGCTATGTTTTATTACTTTTGGCTGCTGCCTTATAAAGGAAAAGGAAAAGGAAAGGGAATGGGAAAGGGAAACGGAAAGCGAAAAGGAAAGGGAACATGCAAAGGGAAAGGGAAAACGAAAGCACGGTGCTCAAAAGCCAACAAAAGCCAAAAGCCTGAGAAACCTTGGAAATCCTGTGACTTTCTTGAAGCTACCAAAAGCCAAAAAGCCACCCAAAGCCAAAAAAACATCCAAAATTGGTATACCATCCAATGAACTGCCATTCGCCCCCTCTTCCAGCCCCACCTTGCCACCGCACGGGGGATCCCATCTCCTGCGGACTGGCGAACATGGGGAACTCTACGGAGCACTTGGTTAAGGCTAAGGTATGGTTTTCGCATGTATTCGCACATGATGCTCTAGACATCTCTATTTAGACATCTCTATAGACATCTCTGTAGATCTAAACCAGACTTCGGACTGGCTAACCAGGAGCACAAAACCTGAACTCCGGGTCTGGTTTTGGAAAAACCATGTCCTGTCGGACCCTTTCCTTCCACTGAGAATTCAGGAATCCTCTGCTTTCCACCCAAAGTAACAGCATATCGGCTTTTGTGTGTTCAGTGTAGTAGGACAGGTGGATACTGAATTGTAAATTCACCTGCTATATCCTGCGATACTGTGCAGTCTATGGCAGTCTGCCCGACATTTCCACGTGGCAAAACATCAAAGGACACTCTGCGACCCTTTCGGGTCACAGAAAAAATCGAACCTCGGCAGACCGTTCACGACCATTTAGGGAGCGTGTCACACCCCCTTTCCGACTCTTCAATCCCCCAACCACACCCGCCTGATCGTCCGAATGCCGGTGCTCACGCTTACTACCTGAGGCGGTGACCCGAGGGGTGACCTACCGCAGGAAGCTATTAGTAACAAGTGCCACGCTAGTAGGAACAAGCGCCTTACTAGTAGTAACAATTTAAATAATTAGAATTGTAATTACTAGCTTCTTGTTACTACTAGTAAGGCACTTGTTACTACTAGCCTGAGGCGGTGACCCGAGGGGTGACCGGGTGACCCGAGCTCAAGTGACCGCGCCGAACTTGGTGGGTTTTTCGGAAAAGAAAAGCCGCTGGCACTTCGGACGTGCAGCGTTAACACACATGAACACCCCCCAGTTCTCCTCAAATGTAAACTTCTAGGAGCCCCAAGTGGAAAGTGGTGTAGTTGTAAAACAATTGAAATCATAACTGCTCGAGAAGCAAGGCAAGGTATGGCAAGAGTGTGCAGGCTTCTGCACCCATCCTGATTCTCGACGTGAACATCTTCAAAGGGGCCTGGAGGCCATCGCTATTAGGTTGGAGGCCATACCATCGCTACGTAGTAGGTTGGGTATAGCTTTGGTGATCCAGGAGCACTGCACCTGCACGCTTTGGAGGCGCCAAACCGGAAGACAGCTGAGTCTTCCACCGACTTCCCTCACTCGATGGTGATCTTCTTTTGCTTCAATGACCTGGCACAGGGAGCTGAGGTTCTGGCCTCTGTTCTCCGTAGAAGAATCGGTTTGTGCTGAAGAACCCCGGCCCGGCCCGACAAAAAGGGTTGTGATGGGTCATGCGCTGGTCATATGCGGGTCAAAGCGAAGACATCGGGATGCCGCGCTACAAGCGAGCGCAAAAGCAGGGCACCGGTACCATGGACCCAGCATGACCCAGCTATCTAACTCACAAGGGTAGACCGAAGCTGGAAAGGAACATGGTGGAATAGTACAGCCACCCTCACCACGAACCAACAGGTACAGGGCCCCACAGGGGAGCTTAGCAGTTGATCATAGTTGATCCAACCAGGCACCCGGAGCAGTGAACAAACATCACTACCCCTGCAGTCAACGACTTTCTGGTTGAGCAGTGGCAACTTTGGGCACCAACACCGGCTATAGATTCCCAGCATCACCAACCGAGCCTGTTTCTGGAAATGCTCCGTGGACACGGACTCGGTCATCGTGGGCTGCGACCAGTCAAAGATGCCATCGTTCTCGTAGCCTGCGACGGAAGGGTCCCCAAGGCTGTGTGGGACGACTTTCATGAAGCAATGGGAGAGTGTTCCAACGTTCATGTGTGTTCATGTATGTTCATGTCTTTTCATCACATACTCATCTCGACTGGAGGACCGGAAGTGCATATCAGTGAAATGCTGGTCGCTATATACACGATCCAGTCACTCGGTCCTGCACAAGAACCTGACCCGAAATCCATCGAAATCCTCAGTTACGCCTTGGCAAATTCAAAACGTCAGGGCTTCTAGTGAGTTCGTAAGTAGCAAACCATGGCATGGCGGGATGGCCAGGATTGGCGCCTTCTTTGGAAAAGAGCTCCTTGAAGAGCCGCCGCAAGTAGGCGTAGTCAGGCCGATCTTCGAACCTCAAGGCCTAGGGGCGAAGCAAACAAAGCACGAAGGAGGTGCACGCGAACGGTTCACACTCAACAGGCGCAACAGGTGTAGCACGACACATGCGACTGGTCCAAAGCCGTTGAAGGACCACCACTGGTCCATAGCTCGGCACACCGGAGGCCACAGTCCCGGGCTTTGGCGTAGTTCATGTACGGGATGAAGATGGATGGGCAACCTCCAGCACGTTGCGAGAGCTCGTACCGGTGAATGACTTGAACTCATGGCCTCCCCCGGACCGCATGGCAGTTCAAAGCATTAAAAGGTGCTGAAACCGGTGAGGTTTCCGGTGAAGTTGTGGATACTTGTTGATCCACTTCCCTAAAATGAACATGCTACATGTAGCCACATGTAGTGCTCTCTCTAAATGGGGAGCCCCAAAGAGAGAGCCATTGGCCATCGTCGACCCTTGGCTCGAGCCCCGAACGGCGCGTTTCCGCACGCGCCGCGAGCAGGCAGCCTTTGCATAAGGTCTCCACAGAGGTGGACTGCTTGCACTCCATGATCTTATGATACCTGAGAGCTGAAACCAGCTCTGGAGAAGTCCTGAAACTAACCCGGGCCAAAAACCTATTGTCGTGGTCATGCCGGCCTTCAAGGTTCCGCGTCTTGAGGCATGCCCAACTGGTTGATAGCCATAAACAAGCACAAAGGTAGTAAGTAGGTGTAAGTAGGCAATTGTGCAACATGTGCCTTCCCAAACGTACACAAGGGAACATGACAACCTATTTAATGGTTTATCGATCCCCTTCAAGAGCCTGCGTCAATGCTCTCCCTTCAGCTTTCTCAGCTTTCAAGCGCCCAGGTGCTTCTCCTCCTTGGTGGCTGCCTGGAAGCCCTGCCAGGGCAGCTGCCCACGGCTGAAGTAAATGAGCACGTAACCTGCACGTTGCTTCTGCCCAGGGCTGGAGTTGGGTGATGGAGGGTGATGGCACAGCTGCCCAGCTTTTGGATCTCAATCTTCCATTCTGTAGCTTTTGAGTGTGTGTTGGTTAAAACGGTTCTCTATACCAAGTACATACCAATTTACAGTAATCCAATTTATATCAATTTAGACATCATCACCAATCTCAGCTTCCATTCCTGCTCGACTTGCTCCTTTTTCTCACAACTTGACTTTGTTTGAATGCAGCTCAGGCGCCAATGGCTTCAATATCATCCCGACGGCTCTGCTCAATACCGCGGTGGGCATTGACCTTGCATCTTCGTTTGATGGTGATATCAGCTTGAGCAAAGGAGCAAAAGGGAACAACTCCAAAGCCTACGCAAACATGTACTGGCACCTGACTTCCCAAAGCATGTTGCGGCTTAGATTCTTGGATTTCTTTTTACAAACTGGATGTAAGGTTGCCGGCCAGGTGTTTTCAGAGATTTTGGTCTGCACGCGGCGCAATCAACTTGATGCCACTCAAGACGAACAAAAAATCCACCGACATGGCAACAATTCCAATACTGTGAATGCTTGAGCACACCACCGGTTTCTACTCATCCCACTGGGAGACTGCGGAGCAAGTGGCTGACGCATATCGGGCAGTGCCTGTCATGCTCTTGTTGTCCTCGGTTTGGGTGAGGCGCGTTTTGGGCGCTCGACGGCCCGACGGCCGCAAAACTTCATGTCATCGTTAAGGGTTCCATGTCTTGGAACATGTGTTCCCAGGACGAATTGATCCAGTGAAGAACTCTCGAATGGTCCCAGCACACTGAAGGTGCCTTGGCTGCGAACTCGCCTACCTGATCCTCTTTGCGAAAACCGACATCAGAAACACAAGGAACCGCCTATCAGATGATCATACCATGGCCGAATTGGTGACCGAAACATAGCTCACAATCTGGGGCCGCCCTCCATGAATGGCATGCCCAAGGCACCTTGTACGGAATGTGATTGCACTTCGAATCCCTGGCAGCATGTCTTGGGTTTCAGAACTTAAAACTGCGACAAAGACTCGGTCTACGTATTATAACCATCCATAAGCAAGGTCCGGTTTAAATCGGTTTATCCATGTTTATCCCATTTCGACCCGCAACACAAGATGTGCATGGATTTGACATAATATATTTATAACAATGATACGTATATATGCGTATGATACATTATGATACTATATATGGATTCTTCCCGCCTATACTTCTTGGCCAGGCCAAAGTCAATCAGGTACAAGATGTGGGACTTCTTGCTGCCGCCGATGAGGAAGTTATCGGGCTTGATGTCGCGGTGAATGAAGTCTTTCGAGTGCAAATACTCGATCCTGCTCAGCCGCTTCGTCTTCCGACCGTCGGTGGTTGTGAAACGGCGCCTCCGGAGGGTGAACACAGGAACCGACAGCAAAGGAAGCGACACGGGAAAGGTCAGGCACATGGAACGAACATGGCACTCAAAAAGACCTCTGCAAGCACGCACTCTCACTCGCATCGAGCTCCGCTCAAGAAAGGTTTAAAGTCCACCAAGGTCTCCTGTAGAGCATCTGATCTGCCAACATCAATAGCGTCTTCAGGCTAAACCTGCGCTCGCTGCCGCGCTCGGTTCGAGCGGAGCCGCTCGGAGTTCAGAACTCGCTGGCCCACTGGTGGGGCCCGACAGGGCCATTTTCGGAGGCCACCGACCGTGTAACAGGATGGTTTTTTCCTGGGCTCTGAAGCTCCAAAACCCTGGACCGAACCTCTCATGCTCGACCGGACCTTGCCTCCGCCGGCAGATGTTGAACAAATCCTCCAAGGAGGGGCCAAGGAGATCCATCACCATGATGTTAAAATCACCTGAACCAGATGCCGGGCGCGCCACGGAGAGACCGTCATGGAGGGGTCCAAATGGGATGAACCAATCCAAGTGGGCCGAATTTAGGCAAGCCCCTATACCTACTATAGGCCGGCCATCTGGGAATTAGAGCCATGACTCTCTTGTCAGTATGAATGTAATTGAATGTATATAAATGTATGTAGCGTCTGGCCTATGTCGTAAGGTTCAACTTATGCTTCCATTCAGGCTGTGCTTGTGAAGCCATGGTGTGGTCTTGTGTTTCGAGTTCTTTTGCATAAATCTGTGCTTTCCTTACTCAGCATGAATCTCATGACTCATGACACAACTCTTTCTTCTCAGATCTGTTGAGGCTTTGTGTCATCTTTTCTAAATTCACTCGTAGCAGCGTCGTCGTAGTGGATGTTGGGATTCGAACGGCAAAATACAAAGCATTTCCCAGTCCGAGCAAGACTGAACGCAACGTAATTTGTTGGAGGAATTTCCGTTTCCGAACCACGGGCTCTTCACTCTGCAAGCTTCTCTGGCGCGTTCTCCATTTGGCACATGTTCTTGAATCCCTGGTGGGTTTATTTCATTGTTCGGATCATGAGATAAATCTTGCCGGAGATGTGTCAATGGCAAGGCAAGGCCACTTTCAATAGAAATGGCATTCAAATGTGGGAACACCATGGAACACCTTTGCAAGAGCAAACGTCACAACTCGACTCCGCTTTGCGACGACGGCCTTGTGAATCTGAAAAATAGACCTCAGTGACAAGAAGACAGTCCAGCGACCAAGTCTCCGTCAATGGTCGCAAAATACTTGGGGCAAACCTATCCTTTCCTCCTCATGCTTCTACTTCGTGAAAGGTCTGGCTATGTCGGCTATGTCGCCCTCCCAAGAGACCTCTCTACTGACTCTACTGACCTCTTTCGGCAGTGTCTGCCTTCCAGCCGCTGGGGGCTGGAAGGAAGTCGCGCCCCTCAGGTGCTGGCGGATGCGAAGCCCGGTGCACCCTCCAAATGCTTCAACAGCTTGGCCTGTGATGCGACCACGGCGACCACGTACCGCAGAGTGCTCTGAGTGTCACCCACTTGGGCAAGGTCTGTCTGGCCTGAGGAAAACCCCGGCGAAAGAGATTCTAACATCTGAAAACACCAAGCTGGCCATTCCACCTGCGACTCCGGTATCTGTCCTGGCCCAATCTCCGACTCAACACCCGTCAACCCTTTAACCGGAGCTGGATCAATTCATGGACCGACCCAATGGCCCGGCTCAGCCCGTTCGCCTCATACAGAAGCATGGGGTGCTTGCTATCGACGCGTTCCAATTTCACAGCCAATTCCTTTCCAGTCCTCAAATGCCATGATTTGCTGCGCGCTGTGACATTTCCAAAGCCCTTTCACATGTCGTGTAGCACCGAAAGCTACACGCCCTCGCCATAAAACACAACAAGTGAAACATCGGGGCCCACAAAAGAAGCCAAGCCCGTGCTTGAATGCGCCCTTGTTAGGCCCTATAGGCCCTATGCTTGCGTGGCCAAGGCGGCCAAGGTGCTGTGAATCCACGGCATAGTAGATTTCCCCGAAGGAGCCGCTCCCAAGTTTCCGGCCCAAGCAGTAGATATTGCCCACCTCCATCGTCACTTGACGCGATGATCGGCGATGATCGGCGGAAACAAACGTCGAGCAGGAGGACTGCTCCAACGACCAAAAGTGGTGTTGAGTGGGGCCGCGGTCATGATGGGAGTCGGAAGAGGGTTCAAAGGTTCGAACAAAAGAAACGGAGACACATGATCAAGCACATGTTGTGTCACTGTGACTGACCCAAGGCCACATCATTAACCCAACAATTCGCGTGGGATCCGGATGTGCCTCTCTGAGCACATCTCGTTCGTTTTGGACGATGACGGTGGATCGTGGATCGAAAACGATTGGATCGAGGGATCCGAACCTTACCCAGCCGCTGCATGATGGATTCCTGCTGCTGACCTGAGAGATCACTGCTGGCCGATCTAAGGCATCACAGGAGAGGAGGGGGTAGACCTACACAGCATCAAGAGTTTAATGAATGCCTTGATGCTGTAAAGCATGTGCAAGCATCACCCTCAACCTCCAAGACTATAGATGATACAAATGATGCAATATGATGTGATATGTATCCTTTGCGGCTCAGCTCGTCTGCCACCGCTCATGCAAGGCCCCACTTCCACCAGCTTTTCGTGTTCGTCCCAATCATCTACACCCTTCGCTGGAGCGTTCCGCTTCGCGCTCCGCTGCGCATGCCGCGGCCGCTCGCTCCTTCTTTTTCTCACTCGAAGTGCGCCACCACGGCCCGCACGGCCCCGGCATGACGCTCCTCACACAAGCCCTCTGGACCATCTGTGGAGGAATCCAAGTGCCAAAGCAGCAGCTGGCCTGGGTGCCAATTTTGGCGTATGGAGTGACACTGAACAGCCACCCCGCTTGTGTGGTCGACGTGGCATATTAATATGTCAAATAGCATAATATATAGATATATATAGTATAATAGTCCCCCTGTATCCACTTAATTCCGAATGAGGTATAAGATTAAATAGGTGTCACATGTACATTTCAAGAGCCAGAGTCACTTGCAAATGGTTCTTGCTTTCTGACGGTCTTGCATACCTTGCGCGATCTGGTCTGGTCACAGCCCCACCACTGAGACTCGATGGCAGCACCGGATTTAGGCCTTTAGGCCTGGTCAACCTTCCCAGAAGACCAGGGACTAGGGATGTACTGGAGCTCCCGCAACACGTCTGCTTCTAGGTATTCTACCCTAGTTCACCAACCTCTTGGGCTCCAATCGATTTGAGCCAACACTTCGGTTTGGTGTCGTCCCATTGGGGGTGGTTTCGTATGCCGCTAGGTCGCCCTGCTGGCTGCCACAGGTCCGCCGTGCTAAGGTCAAGCGGAAGGGACCAAACATTTTGTTGACTGAAGAACAAACATGCAGTAGAACATGGTTTTACCATGTTTTACGAAGTTTTTTGGGCCACTTCCTGTCTTCGCACATCGGTGGCCACAGCGAGGAACTTTCAAGTCAAGTACAGGGTACATCATTCATGGAAACGGTTGATCCACAAATGCCTTGCCATCCAAGTAGGGGATTCCGGGATTTTGTGAATCAAACGTTTACATTACTTGGATTTGTGGCCTCCGGCTGACAGGTTCTGAGCCTCCCATCCCTAAGCCGTCCAGGTGGCCGTCGTAAGTGCCGCTGACAGCGCGGCGCGCGCGGAAGTCTGCGGCCAACGCGCACACTGAGAGTCCTCGGCGGCCTTAGCTGCGGAACATTGAAAGAAACATAACGGTTTTGATTCACTTTCCTTGCCTTTCTTGCAGTTGCATATGCCAGTGGGTGGGGGGCATTGGGGGGCTGCAACAAATCTGATAGCCTGATAGTCTGATAGTCAACAGCAGTACTTTACACATTCCTGGCCCATCCAAAGTGGTGAAATTGGGAGAATCAGCTATGCTGCTGAATCAGCCCGTCAACCTGACCCCCGAAAACGCTAAGCCCTCCAAGCCCTCTAAGATGAGCCGTAAGCCGGTCTCATGCCCCACATGTGCCGCCGTCGGTCTTGTGTCTCTGGTGGGTTGGTTGACCAGCATGTTCAACGAGGTGCTCTTGGTTGGAACGTCCTCCCGGACGTCCCAAAGGTGCAATTGGCCATCGAAGGAGCCACTCAGCGCTGCAAAGGAGAGGTCGAAGGAGCTATCCATGGACCAGACTGACATCTGAGAGGAGCCCTCCACCAAATATGTACAAACCTCAGCTGAAAGAGTGAGAACGCAAGTGGCATATAACCACTATAAACATCTATAAACTCTACTGTATTAAAAGCATGATTCACTCAACCTCTGCGGGAGATGAGATGTGGTCAAACACAACTTTCAATTCTTTGACCTTAGTTGAGATATGTTGAGACGCTCTCATTCTATTGCATGATTTCTGCGACTATATATAGGAGGATTCGAAATACAAAGCGCAGCAACTTACAGCAAACTGTCAAATTCTGGTGGCATCCAGTAATCCAAGCCATCACTATAGATTCCCTAAACCAGCTCATGTCTCGGAGATTTCACCTCCTATCAAACATGTCCAGCATGATGCCGACATACTGGTCCAACACATTGCCCATGAGCACCACTCCCGCGACACCGTCTTGTATCCCCCAAAAGCCCAGCACTCCTACTATAGGAACAAAGGACGCTACTAGGTGCGCTCCTGGCCTTACTAGGAGCAAGAGGACGCGACGAAACGGAACCAAGGGCATCGTTGCGGACGGAGCGATCGGACGCGACGAACGTCGTGAGTGCCAAGGAGTCAAGCGTCCGAACGGGCCGTGTCGCCTCGCCGTTCGGACCGGCGTCCAACACGTGGATCGTTCCCAGCGGACCCTGGAGGGGTTGCCACATGGCCCGCCCAGCACAGCCACACCCGGTCTCACGGAAGCCAGGCGTCCATCCTTGAGAGATCCCAAATACCTCGATGTTGCCAAAGCAACATTGGTTTCGGAGCTGCTGTCTTGGTATATCCCATGCTGAAACATGATTGAACGGTGTGAGCGCAGCCTGTGGATTGCACGTTTCAACATGTGACATCATGTCACAACACAATGTCAGCGAATTGGAGGCCGCATGTGCCAGCTCTAGTTGAGTCTTGAACCTCTATGTGTTGCAAAGTTTGGTCTCGCCACCTTCCTCATTATCCTCATTGGAGACCTTCGTGAAGAACACTTCAATTTGTCCATCCCACTACCGTTGCAGCTCGGAACAGCATCTGTGGGCATTGGACTTCAAAGAGCCACCAGTTGGAGCTCTTCCAAAGCACAACGCAGATTTCACACTTTGGACAACCCCTCCCGAAGAAAAAATCCAAACCGTCCCACCCTCCGAACCTCAACATCCGTCAGATCCGTCCATCCGATCCCCCGCCGCCCCTGACCCTCATCCGAGGTGCAATAGATGCCATCATCCGAGCCGCTGGCCGCTTTGGAGCGCTGGAACTCCGCCTGCACCACCTGCACCAGCCCGCGGTGTCGGCCTTCGAGGACGTGAGCACAGGACTCCTGGGAAGGGTTGAGAGTGGTCGGGGTGAGAAAATGGTGGAAAATCACCGAAACGGCCTCAAGAACTCAAGAACCAAACACTCAGGATATTACTGAACCACAAGCAGGAAAAGACTAGATGTCTGTAGTCTGCTGGATCTGAAATAAGAACTAGTGTTTCGGACCTCTCTCAATGTCCAATTTCTCGGCTTCCTTCCACTGAAAGACTTCGGTTCCTCCTGGAAGTCCCACACTTGAACAGATCCACCTTCATGTCCCGTCACCTCGGGGCTGCGTGTTTGGGGCGGGGTGACGAAGTCGCCAGGAACTCCAAGGATTGTTTTGAACCAAGATTGGTCTCCGAATGTCTTCAAAACAGCTTCCCTCTCCAAAGTCAAGGTCCACCCTTCTACATCGATCATCGATTCATGAGTGAGGTAGAACAACGCTGCAAAGAGGACAAGTTACTTCATCTGAAACCTATGCGTTTCTGATTGCAAAACTATGAGCCATTGATCAAACAAATCGCACCGACAAGGTCCGCATGGTGTGGGTGTCTCAAATGGCCCAATGCTCTGAGGCGCTGCAGCCTGGTGTTCGCAACTCGCATGCACAGACCAGGCTGTTCCGTGAGGGCATCGGAGGGTTAGCAAGGCGCTCCGTTGGTTGAATGACCTGGGTCGGCTGGTGAGCAATGAAGGAACTGGCGCCGGGGTAGACACCCTATCGTTTTCAGTATCTTATTTGTTCCCTGTCATGGATGCGCCAAATCCAGATTTCTGTCTATGTCTACGCAATGCATGGCATACTACTATGATCTATACTATGCATGGATTCTGTAGTTATGCATGCATACATTATTATCATACATTGCGCACGTCAAGTGCATAAAACGCTCGGGCTTGATGAGATTTCGGGCCCCTATGACTCCGATGAGATTCAATGTGAAACAATGTGAAACATCCACTTTATAGCTTGCGGACCCTTCTGCAAACAGCACTTCCGTAAGGGCCCATGGACTCTTGTTGCTCGAGAATTGCAACTAGTAGTAGTCCTCTGAGACAGCTACGTACCTCAACGATCAATTGCACTTGCTTTGGTTGGCTCTAGGGGTTGCAGGGTTTCAACGAAATAATCCCTTCCACCTATCAAAAAAACCGCACCCCTGTAAAAAAAAGACTCGGGTGCGGTTTCTTAGATAGGGGCGTTCTGAAATAGGGGTGGTCCAAAATAGGGTCAGTGGCAGGATCCTTTTGAATAATCCTTGATTAGCAAAGACAGAAACCTGGGAAGAGCTTCAAAACCGGAAAGTCGCCTAGGAAAATTGTATATAAACTCCTTTATTAAACTCGTCATATTAAAAATTGAAAAACCTCCAGATCGAAGTCGAAGGGTCTTCCTTTTCCATTTGCAAAAGGCCTTTATTAAAATTGTGAACCTTTCGAACGGAGATGTCGCTGTGCCATGTGGTTTTGCGGGAAGGACAGCTTGCTGGTGCAAACTCGGCATGTCATGGTGGACAAACGGGGTGGACAAAGGTGGGCAGTTAGGCCCGGGTTCCTTCTGAACTGAACCTAATAAAAAGAACAACTACCACAAAGTCACAAAGTCGGCCATGTTGGTAGTTTAGTAGCGGCTCTACAGGGCGGTAATTCAACAAAACAACTATTATATATAATATTATATGTAATATATGCCGTATTTAGGGTTCTCTGATATGAGTTTGTTTACAGGTGAGTGTGTTTTTTCTGGTGTTTTTTTTTCCCGAAAGCATTGCGAAGGGTTCTTCCGGAAAATCCTTTGAACACTGACACTTCGACACTCACACTTACACACACACACACACTGGAAGAGCGAAAGCATCCAAGTGCGAAGTATGCCAGTGTCAAAGTATGCAAGTGTAAGTATGCAAGCATGATATGCAAGGGTGAGTATGCAAGCATGCAATGACCATGCAAGCATGCAATGAGTAGGCAAGTGTGAGTATGGACGGGGGATGTCCTAATGAAAAAACATTTCCCCACTTTATAAATTCTCTCTTAAAGGCGGAGTGCGGGACGAACAGCGTCAACCGAAAGTGCAACCCTCTGCGGAGATCGTGCGTGTCGAGTGCGCGAAATGCAGGCGAGAGTGCGATTTGTCCGGTCCGCGCGCAACCCTCTGCGGAGATCGTGCGTGTCGAGTGCGCGAAATGCAGGCGAGAGTGCGATTTG